TGCAAAATGTTCGTGTAGCACATTTCATGGTCTCACCGGTTTGTAAAAAAAGCCTGCTGTGTTTACATTTTTGTTATCGTACACCCGTACCACCTTTTAAAAGTCCAAGCCATGGGTCCAGCAGACTATCTGCCGCGTCGACGTTTTTGCCGTTGGTGGCTGCAGCAGGAGTTGAGGCAACCAAACTTTGGTCGCTACGTTTTGTTCACTGACGAGTCCTGTTTTACAAAGGACGGTTATTTTAATAGCCATAACAGTCACATTTGGGATGAAGAAAACCCTCATGCCATAGCCATCCATAGAGACCAACATCAGTTTTCAATTAACATCTGGTGCGGCATTGTGGACGAGCATATCATCGGGCCATATCTGCTTCCACCACGTTTGGATGGGCATGCTTATGGTCGATCCTTACAGCATGTGCTACCGGAACTATTACAAAATGTGCCACTGAATATAAGAGCCAACATGTGGTTTCAACACCATGGCGGTCCAGCCCACTTTTCTTTACAAGTGCGGCAGTATTTGGACGACAAATTTCCAAATAGGTGGATAGGCCGAGGTGGCCCTGTGCCTTGGCCTGCGCGGTCACTTGACCTGACCCCACTGGATTATTTTATCTGGAGCTATCTGAAAGCTTTAGTGTACGAAATTCCTGTTCCCAACCAACAAGAGCTACTGGGAAGAGTGATGGCCGCGTCCGCACATGTTCAGGACATACCGGGGGTATGCCACAGAGTTCGCCGATCATTGAACAATCGTGCACAGCTGTGTATTGAGCAAGGTGGAGGACACTTTGAGCAATTACTGTAGGTAAGCTGTTTCAAGAAACTGATCTTTTTTTTTTTGCTGCAGCCCAAACGGCATATTTCCGAACAGGGGTTTATAAGGAAAAATTGTTCATTTTGATGCCCTCTACAACCCCTATCATTTTGTCGCAATAATTATGGAACACCCTGTATATTATCTTACCATGTGACCATAACAGGTAAAGGTTGGCAGATCAGTATCAAACCAATACATAGCTTGATCTGTGGTGCCGCAAGGTAACCTTGGTCGTTTGCTATTCTGTATGTTCATTAACGACTTACCAAACTGCATAAACAATTCACAATGCCTCCTTGCCTCCTCTATGCTGATGAGTTTAAAATATTTAAGCCCATAGCATCATCTAAGGATTGTCATGAACTACAGAAGGATTTAGATTTGATATCTAACTGGTTTCACGAAAATAAGATGTCGTTAAATATCGACAAATGTCATGTTTTAACTTTTACACGTAAAAAACAATACATAAATTTTACATCCATGATTGAAGATGTACAGCAAGGCAGAGAAAGCACATGCAAGGATCTTAAATACAATAATAACTTTGTACCACACTCTAGTGAGACCTAATGTAGAATATACATCAACTATTTGGTCACCACAAACAATGAACCATATCGAAATGATTGAGAGAGTGCAAATGAGATTTCTCAGATATAAGTATGTATTCTAATATATATGTATATATATATACATATATATCCTTTTATGATCTCATATAAGAATATGTTGAATGAATTTAAAATGGTCAAATTAATCTATAGGCCACGTTTGACTGATGTTTTATTCCTCTACAATGTCACTAACAACCTAAAGTATGAGAAATGTGATTTATATAAATATGTATTATTTGTAGTTCCTAAAGTTAAACTAAAAATAAGAAAAAACAAATTGTTGCAGTGTCAAAAGTTAAGTAGCTCTCCTATAAATAGGATGATGTACGAATGTAACATTCTTATGCAACGGTGTGATTTAGACCTTTTTTGTACATCAGTAGGACAAATCAAGGCAGTGTTTCTAAACAGCACATTGCCTTGATGCCATTAGTATTATATACTATTTCATATATTATATATATTTTATCTCTGTTTTGTATTTTAAAATGTTGTTTTGTCTTTGTAATTTATTTTTTAGTAAGGGCTCTTACATTTAAATACATTTGTATGTGTTTGTAGGAGAGTAAATAATAAAAAATAAATAACACCCAACATGTGCTAATTATTTAGGTAGCTTCGAAGAGAAGGTAACAAATCACGTCAAGTAGGTTGGCTCTGCACTTCTCACACAACGCTGCTATCGGTTCATAAAGGGCACAAGTTAGCCCGTCTGAGACAAAAAGCTGACTACGAATACCACAATTTAATGTGCATATAAATGAACTGGATCGTTATGTTTACGATCACACAGTTTTAAAACCCCCTCTCCCCCCTAAACGGATAAGTCCACGCTACATCACGGTGTACAATGATTTCGATGCGCCTATAGGATTTTCTCACTTAGAATGTGACAACGCTGCTCGGCAGCCACCCATCGCATCGGACAGTCTGCGAAAATATTTTTATCATTCTAAATTTTCAAGAATTTTTTTTTTCTCAAAACTAGAAATATTTTTCATCCTTGGTATACTCGTGTTAGTAACCTTGTGCGAGAAGTTCATCAAAATTAGACCGGTACTTTCCCAGTTATAGGTGCGAGGATTAGCGGACAGACAGACCAACAGAAATGAGTGACGTGTTTTTTTGTAATGAGAATGTCATCATCCAAAAATACTATAATTTGTTTTTAAAATTTTTTCGCTATTACTATACCTTCTCGCCAGTAGGCATGGAAAGTAAAAACAGTTTTCACCCGACGCGTGTTTGGCTATGTTAGATCTTTAATATTTGCCTGAAGATGATATTGTAGTTAGGAAAATACATGTTAGTTGTTAAAATTACCGGTTTGGTGACGATAAAATTCTGTTGAAATTCCCTATTATATTTAGCCAAAAATTGTGTCTGGTTTCTGCAAAAATACCTGTAGTTTTCTCAGAACGATATTGATTCTGCTTGAATAGTGCTTTCTATTTTTTCATAACAATAATCAGATTCATACTCTTGCAATTAAAATTATTTCCATTTTGAACACCAAAATTTGCAAAACCCAATGGGAACCGTTTTCGAGATATGTAAGGGTAACTGTCAAAGACGGACAGTTTAAACACGTCGTATTATCGAAACTCTTTACTCCCTGTATATACTCGTACAGAATTGAACATTTTGGGGAGCGTATAGACATATATAATTGTCAGCTTATTCGAGTTGAGGGTAATGTGGCAGCGCCGTCGGTCTTTCTGGACGCTGGCCAAGCAGATTGAAAAGAATTTCTCACACATTAGCCTTCCACCAGGATGGAACGATTGTATTCGACTCAAAGGCCAAGGTGGAAGTGCTAGCCAAGATCTTCGTTGCCAACTCCACCATGCCGCTGAGCTGGAAAAAAGAAGACTAGCGACGACTTCCTCTCTGACAAGAGACCTGGAGGCTATCACTGCTTGAGAACGCAACAATCTTGTACAGTTCAATGCTTCCAAAACACAGTACTTTCATTTCGAGTGGTCGAAGACCAGATCACCGAGGACCTGATCTGGCACGAACACATTTCGTCAATAGCTGCAGCTGCTGGGGAAAAGCTAGGCTATTTGTTTAGGGCTAAGAAGTACTTTTCTCCGCGTGACCTTCTCTTCTGACTACATTATCCATGCTCGATGCTGTGCAGAAGGAGGGTGGTCCGACTGATCGATGACTCTTCTCTAACAGACAGTCTCGGGACACTTTCGCACTGGCGGGCCGTAGGCGATCTAGCTCTTTTATACCGCTACTCCAACGGGCTTTGCTCCTCAGAGCTCTCTTCCATGATGCCGCCGCGCGATGTGCCTGCCAGACAGACCCGCCTGACTTTGGCGTCCCATCCTAACCCTAATCCAGAACTGGCTGATACGACCGCTCCTTTGTCCCGAGGGTGTCGAGATTGTGGAACAATCTACAAGAGGAACCTTTTCCCAGTTCTACTAACCTTAGGCAGTTCAAAAATCGTATTAACAAAATTTATCTCATCATAGCAGCCGCGGTGTTCCGGCATTCAGGCTTCTGCCTGCGCGGCTGCTTCGATATAAAAAAAATAGTATATATGTCGAATATTTATTTGCCCGTTAACATCGTAATCACTGGGAAACGAGACTATTAATTGTGTTTCCGTTGAATGATATCTGGATACCGTATATTTTTGGGTATCAAAAAGCATAAAGCGAAAGTAAAAAGAACGAGAAAAATAAGAGTTGGGTAATGAAATTTATGATGCATGCTCTTCCGGAATTTATGTAGTGTGAAATCCATCCACAATGTTTATTAGCTTATTAATTTCCAATGGAAATAATATTTACCGAAATGTGATTACCTATAAAATATGTACTGACTTTCAGTTTCGAGTTCTCGAGGTAATCAAATCTTGACTGTTGTATTAAACGTGTGCCAATTTACTACAAACTTATAAGAAACTCAAATTCAGGTAGACTTACTCGGCAATATTCAACATTTTAGGTACACGAAAAACAAAAAAAAGTCCGTGTCATATAACGTCTATAAAACACAATATCTCGATTTCTTGATTTTTTAGAATCATATTAACTTTCCCACATTTTGGCGTAGGAAGTAAAATCGAAGTCAAGTAGAGTGACTTAGTACCTCACTTGATCCTCTTGTAGTAGAAACCAAATCTAATTATCAATATAAATGTTCAAGTGTCTTAGAATTATACGAGATGTACATGCTATGTATAAATGCCAATGAAAATTTTACATTTCCTGTATCTACTACATCGATTTAGATGTTTTTCCAGAAAACCCCACTTTCTATTGATATAGGTGATAAGAATTATTGCATCAGCGAAACGCCTCAATTGAATTTTTTTTCACAAAAAAGGGAAAAGACTGTTTGGGTGATCTTCAATAAGAATGTCAGTGTTATTTTCCAATCTACAGAGATGCTAGATATTGTCAGAGACAAGCTAACTTGAATGTAGCATGTACGACAACAAACGTATCCGAGATTTTTCTAGGTTGCAATGCCTCCAACGTCCTATTGCTGTAAGAGTAACGTAGAAAACTGAAAGTGCATATAGATATACTGAAGAAGTTACCTTTCTTCACTGCTCTCACTTTCTCTAGTAGATGTTCCAGTATCACTACCGATACTACTATCCACCTTCTTCAGCTCTGGTTGAGGTGATGGTTTCAGCCTATTTTCTATCTCTTGGTACTTCTTCTGATTTTCCGGCCTGTCAATCAACAATTGCAACTGGCTTTTCAGTAAGGTGGCAGTTTCCAAGCTGTCACATCTGCAACAAAGAAAAAACAATGAATCCATACACTAGATATTATCACGTGGAACACGTTAGTCGATGATAGTATACAGCACAGAAAATTAGTTTTACACGATCAAGTAGAGTTTTATGCGACTAGTTCAAGATAATTGACGGTTGTATAGCTTTTTTCCAGCACCATGACTAATTGAAAACGATTGAGGTAGTAGCCCATAGGTTAGCGTCGTAAGGATTGGACCGTTCGCAGTAAACCAATTGATTCGTGATTAGGGATTGTAATCCAGCAAAACGGGATTCTGCATTCGCGGCATCTCGCTACTTAGTAACCAGTAGAATCCCGCAGCTTCAAAATGCAGATCCCCAACTTTAGAGTAAGTGAGAGCAGGAAAATCACATAGAGGATATTTACTTCACAATTCTTGGCATTCTTCTATACGACCTAGGTCTAAATAAATGTCATTTATATAGAGTCGTCCAAAATAATATGAATGTGAGCTACTATTTTTAATCTATGATAAATTTTATTTTGCTGTAGAATTTAAGCACCTATATCAAAAGTACGTCACATTTGAGTTATTGGATTTATAGTAATTTTAGGAAACGTTCACATAAACTGATACAGGGCGCTTGAGAATTGCATCCAAATTTTGTTATCTCAAACGTGCGGTTACTCGTTTTTTGGTTCCACGCCAATAGCAAAAACCTATAAAAAAATAGAAATGCAGATATTTGTATCTGTCGCGTGTCTGTGTGGATCAGTCTAGACCAGGGTTTCTCAAGCGGTGCGAGCTATATGAAGGGGGTTCGCGAAAAAATTATGGTAATGGCGGAATTTATCCTCAATATTACAACACCGCCGCTACAACAATCCGGCAAGAGTTCTACTTCGGCGACTCGAGCGCATTGAGACCTTTCTGAGAATGCACTGGACAGAACGAGAATAACGTCTGCAGATATAAAAAGGTCGCAGTCACGGAAGTACGAGTACAGTCGAACGCGCTTCGTGAGCCGTACGTATGTCGAACGTGAAATTAAATAAATATAATGATATTCTGTAAATTTAAAATGGATAGTTGGTTAAAAACGCGCAGTTTTGTCAACTCTGATGAAAAGCCAGATGAGCAATCAACTACTGCTTCTTCTTCGGTTCCCGATTTGGGTTCAACATAGAGTGGCGATATTGAAAGTTATAGTGAGGTACCTTCTCGCCAGAATTAAAGTAATGAGAAAATGGACAAGCACGGTGGAAAAAAGGGAAAGATACGAAAATACGACACTGACTATATTTGCAAATGGGTTTTTATTTCACCAGGGAAAAGTCAGAACCTAAACTGCTTTGTGTAATTTGTAGTGAAGTCCTGGCCAACAGTAGTTTAAAACCATCGACTCTTCGTCGGCACCTTGAGACAAGACATCAGGATTACCAGGATAAACCTATTGAATATTTTAAAAGGAAGTTGGAAGGTAATAAGAAGTGTAGTGTTTCTTCTTTCCTGTCGGCTTCCAACGCAGATAGTAAAATGGCTCTTGAGCATCATTTCGAGTTAGTTACAGATTCGCAAGGTCTGGAAAAGCTCATACAGTGGCAGAAAATTTGATAGGGCCTTGCGCTAAAGACATCGCAATGTGTATGCTTCTAGATAAAGCGGCAAAAGAAATTGACCTGGTGCTTTTATCAAACAGCACAGTTTCACGGAGAATTAACGATTTGGCGAACAGTGTTGAAAGTGAACTCTTGAAAAGAATAAAATTGAATTATATTGCTATTCGGCTTGACGAGTCGACTGATGTAGCAAACTGTGCAATATTGCTCCTGTATGATAGATATATTTCTAAGAATTCCATTCAAGAAGATATCTTCTTTGCAAAGCCACTGGAAACTTATACGACTGGTGCAGCAATTTTTCAATCTGATCAATGACTACTTTGAAAAACATTAAATCAACTGGCCATTTTGCTTAGGTGTATGCACAGATGGTGCAAAATCAATGACTGGAATATATTCTGGACTTGTGACACGAATAAAGAAGATCAACGAGAATATAGAATAGACTCACTGCTGTATTTATAGGCAAGCATTGGCACGTAAGCGTATTCCTGCAGAGTTAGCCAGTACTTTAAGCGAAGCTGTAAAAGTTGTGAGTTTTATAAAGTCCCGTGCTACAAATTCTCGTCCATTTCGTGAACTTTGTGAGGACTTGGGAAATTTCCACGTCTCTTTATTACTTCATATAGAAGTTAGGTGGCTCTCGTGGCAAAGTTTTGACCCGCTTGTTTGAATTGAAGTCCGAAGTTCAGCCAATTTTTCTTGACTATTCATTTCATTTGTCCGCTTCTGTATCCGACATTCTGTGGCTACAAAGACTTGCATACTCAGCCGATAGTTTTTCCAAATTAAATGAACTAAATGTCTTTACAAGGTCCAGGAATGACCATTTTCAATGTTATTGATAGAAGCCATGTTAAAGAAGTTCAACTTTTGGAATCAATGTCTGCAGATGAATGAGTACGATTGTTTTGGTCCTCTCAGCAGCTTTTCATCAGAGGATAAAATTCAACTTAACGAAAACATTAAAAGTTATATTACTGAACATCTCAAACAGCTTCACTTAACGTTCAAGTGTATTTTCCTAATAAACATGGATCGAACAACTAGATACGCAATCCTTTTGTAGGAGATATAATTTCTAACACTTCTTTATTTTTGTTGGACAAAGAAGAGCTCATTGATTTATGCTCTGATAATTCTCTAAAAGATGTTTTGGAAAACGTTCTTCGATAGACTTCTGGTTCAATGTAAAAAGTGAATACCCTAGCTTAGCAGAACAAGCCATGAACATTTTGTTACCGTTCTGCACAACGTATCTGTGTGAGAAAGGACTTTCAACATACACTTACCTCAAAAATAAGTACAGAAATAGATTAAAAACAGAACCCGATATAAGACCTGTGCTTTTAGACATTGAACCAAATTTTGAATTTCGTTGTTCCAACAAACAGGCACAAATATCCCACTGAGGATTTTTACAAGTATCGAATTACTTGTATTCATATTATATTAATCCTTTTTTTGTACGACTTAGTTAGTTTTAATAACGTTTCTCTGAATGTCTTACGTTACAGTTATGTTTTAATTTACATTGCTCATTATACAACTATTATTCATATGATTAATACATTTTGATAACAGCCAAATAGTACTGTTTTATTTACTCTCACTAACGACTGTTCAGGGGGTTAGCCGATATATTCCAATTTTTATAAGGGGTTCGCAGAAAGAAAAAGCCATATCACTCGGTTTTGTAGTTTTGGTCTGTCCCGTAACCCTCAGCCCCTCTACAACTCGGTAAGTACCAATATGATTTTGAGAAAGTGATAATTCTAGGTCACTAACATGCCAAGGTCAAAAAAGTATTATATGTTTTGAAAATGGGTCCCGTGGTGGTGCTCATGAGCGAAAAACAAAAAGTAGAACCTCTCCTAATTCGAGTCTTCGAGTTTCTGATCAACTTAGAAGGTAAGAATTTTTTTTTGATTGCTCAATAAATTCGTGAGTCCAGTCATGTTTCATATTTCATCGAACACTGATGACGCTTAGAATGTCCGTACAACTAGAAAGTTGAATAGATCAGGTGAGTGGGAAGTACGAACTAAGTTAATCTACTTGATTCTTTTTTTTCTATTCGGTAATCCTTGATCTCACTATAGCTCAAAAAATACTGATTTATAAAAATTTTGACAGTAGGTACAACTATAGATCAAAAAATATTACCTTTTTCTGAGAATCGGTTCAGTTATGGAAAAGTAATAGTGAAGAAAATAATAATCATTATCTCCTCTATTATGGAAAGGATTACTTCCAATCCACATTGTGGAGCAATGTTGACACAAAGTGTCATAGACTAAAAAGATTGATTATTTCGAAATTACATCATATTATTTTATGTATCCTATAGATCCCTATAGATCCAGCGCAGGTTAACAATTTTGCGGGATTCTATGAGCTGCGGGATTGCCATCCCTATTTGTGAATGTACGCTTTATCCGCAACAACTAGACTGCCAACACTATGACCACTAAGGATCTTGTTTTTATTGTAGCATTCAGATTTTCTTCCACGATCTGTATAACTAACACCAACCACCAGCCACTGAAACCCCAGGTCCATATTATCGATGTCTATATAACGTAATCGGAATCGTTGCTACTTACAAAAATCCTATTCAGATTGCCTAAGATGTGGGCACCCCGACTGCTATAAGGAGCTTAAGTATTAAGGTGTTATTACTCCTATTTTTGAACTGTCTAAGAACTAAAAAAGGGATCCGCAGGTAGACTATACAACTATATCGACACCCTAGGGACATAGAAGCGGTCGTACGGCCAGATTTGGGTGTGCGAAGTTTGACATAGGATGGGAGGTGGATACCTAGCGGGTCCATCTGGCAGACTCAACGCAGCGGCGTCACAGAGCCAAGCTCCGAGGAGTAAAATCCGTTGATATAAGCTGCATCGAATATGTACCTGGTGACCCAATAACAAAGCAGGCCGGCTATGTCTCAGCAACATCTTAACTTAGAGCCATCCGTTAAAAAAACTCCTAACAGAAGTGGCCATGGGGCGATGCTGGAAATTAAAACGCCATTATTTTGCAAACATGCGCATTTAACGTACTGACCGTATTGATTTAATAGCCATAATATGTTGATTGCGCGATTTTAGAACTTTTTTTCGATGGATTAAAAAAAAGAATAAAATTTGAAAGCTACGAGCGACGCGACCTCAATGAGTGAGGAGATTATTATAAATGTATAACTTCTTCCCAGCAGCGGTTGTAATTGACGAAATCTGTTTATTTCAATTAAACTCCATGGTGATCTAGACTCCGACCAGCCGTACAGAATTACTCTTTGACATGACTTGGCTATCCGCCAAAACCGGATGCACGCTAAGGCATGTCTAGTTAGTCAAGGTACAGTACTGTGTTTTGGAAGCATTGTACCAGAATGTTGTGTACACAAGGAGTGATAACTTTCAGATCTCTAGTCACAGAGGAAGTTGCTACTAGCCTTCTCCTCTCCAGCTTCTCACCAGAGATCCTCTGGCCATACTGAATACCTGCATTTAGAGTGCTGCCATCAGCAAAGCTGTGGATCGAATCGAACGAAAGGGAAAGTAAATTGTTGATATGTAATGGATCCCTAGAGAACACCGGCATCGATAATGTAAGATGAAAACGAGAACGGATAACTTGAGAGGAAGTTGGCCACCCATCTGCAGAGCTTCTCTGGAAGGCCACAGTAGGAAGTTTGCTTGAGAAGGCAACATGCCAAAGCTGATCGAAAGCAAAAGATGCAATGGATCCTAAAATCCATTTAATAGTAGTCAGATGCCTGGGACATGAATCTGTGGACGCTTCTTCCATTATGTTCTGTTTATATTTTTACAAACTTGAGCACTCTGTATGAATGTTTGCTTACCTATACGCATGCACGTGCAAGGGGCACTTGGTCACAGGGTTGAAGAGCAGCAAGATGCAAGCGATTATGTCCTCTTGTTGATACACGCAGGTTATGGTGTTGTGAGGAATAAAATGCTTTATAGTTTCATTCTTCGGCTTGGAATTTTTTGGATTCTGAGACAGGATGTTTTGAATTATCTTTAAGCCTTTATGAGACACCTGAAATAATAAAAAAGCACTTTTAGTCATTTTATCCGTAATATTATATAATTGTGTTTTATGCTGATAAGCCTTCGGATTACTGCGATTACTATAATAATTATTTATACATCTGTGGCGAAAGAGGATAGTCCACAGCAAGAAATTCAGGCCTGAGATGTGAAACGACGCGGAGTCTAGCACGCAAGAGCCATAGGCACTTATTGCGGCCGAGATAAATACACAAGTTCTTCTTAGACCAGCTATAGCGTAAGTCAAAAATTTCTATTAGCCCCCTAAGTGAACATAAAACTTTATAAAATAGCTGACAGTCGGAGCTATTGCCTAGCAACAGATGAATATATGGACAGCATTCGTAGTCGATGGGGATGATTATAATGAATATGGCGGGTGCTTTATCGCTCTGAGGGCATAAAAAAGACAAGTGAGCTGGACAGTGAAACTTAACGTATGGGAAGCATAGGTTTATAAGTAGGTGAGGTACACGGCTGCCCGCGACCGATAGTATATAAAAAATAATTATGAAACTTTTATAAATGTGTATAGGAATTCTAATATGACTAAGATCGGTATACTTGTAATAAACTTTTTCAGGTAAATTACGTTTTCCGTGTAGCAAATTCAAAATGCGGCAAATGATGAGGAAGATCTCGTCAGCATATCAATAAATGAGCATGTTTGATTTCCAAAAATAACCTTTATGGTTAGATGGTATTGAAGGCTTGTAGGTGTAAAAAGTGGCACTAAGCAGATTTGGTATAAACTGACCTGTAAAGTGACCTTAAAGGGTTCTACATCTTTCTCTCTCTCCTCCAAATTTTTGATCACAGGAATTATGTACTCAGACCCTCTGAGTCCTTTCGATTCTTTGGCGCCCAGAAACCAAACATAGTAGCTGGACTTCTTGACGTCTTTGCGAAGTTTCAAAGCCATGATTCAGCTGCCTAACTTCATCTTCTCACTGTTCGTTAGTTTCTATTGGTTGGGTTTGGATATGGCACTGGATTGAGGTTTGATGGTAAAGCGGACGTGGTTACATCTCGATGGAGATCTTCAGCTGCCCTCTAAGGCCATTTTCTCACAACCTGCAACAAAAAGAAATAATGTACAAGATCAGGAAGAATGTGTTTGTGTACAATAAGAATGTCTTAGCGGCACAAAATTGAATTAAATAATTTGTAGTGTCAACCAAACGCGGTGCCTCTTAAACGTAGGAAGGATAAAATGCTGAAACTGCTTTACGCTTAGACGATTCTCGAAGACTGCTTTGTTCCGAAGATGAGACTGGATAATGTTTTCGAAATTAACATTTTTGATTAGAAAAAATCACATTTCAAACTTCTTCATCTGTAAAAACTAGTACAGGTTCAGCGTCAACCTAAAATTTAGGACTCGGACATAGACTGCTGAGTTCTTTTAAGAACACTAGTGTTCAGTTCTTTCTCTTTCCCTCTCTATCTCTGGAGTTAGACTCCATAGAATATTCACTTTGAGGCTGTATATTATACAATTCCAGTGCAAGATATAAAAGATCTGAGAAAGTAATTTCAGGCTCCAACTCAATATGTGCTTTGCTGTATTTGACGGAGCTCGACAGTGCCTGAGAAGGTAGTCCTACACCTTAGCTAGTTATTTTGAAAAGTTCATACTGATTAAAAACTTCCACAGCTGAACTTTGCTAATGAGAAATCTCATTTTCGAAAATCGTGTGCCTTGGAACACTGCCAAAGCGCAAAATAGTCCAAATAATCATCCATTAAATTCATTTAGCAAGTTATCTTGTTGTTTCAATTAACAACTATTAAAAAATGTTGCATCTCATGCAATAAAACTTCCATACTCTCATACACGTCAAGCGCCTCCAAGGATGTATTATAATATTGTATATAATAACAGTTGTACGCAAAATAGACTACATGGGATGTTAAATATTATGCATTACTAGGTAGCACGCAAACCTCAAATTGAAGCAGTCTAGCGGTTTGTCAATTAAGTAAATTGTAGCATGACCATCAAAACAACAGTTTCTCGGTTACTAGGAACATCTTACCGTATTGTCAAATCATGCATATCCACAACAAGATTGGGCTGTTACTATCAATTATGATTTAAAATTTGATTGGTAGAAAAACGAAATTTCACTACATCAAAAAGTCGCAGTGTAGGTTAAATACATAGGTTTTCATAAGACTTTCAAAAATAAAAATCAAAAGAAATGCTGCTACCTACGGCTACTTTTAAAATATACTTATAGCGGGAATAATAGGATACAGAAAAATAATGCCAAAAGTTTCAATAAATTGGTCTCTTGACTCTGTACCGCCTCCGCAGTTATTTCATCAATCAGATTATATTCGATTTATTTCCAAATCTAACGCCATATCATGCTTAAAAAAATCGGTCACAGTAATTACATGTGAGATATAGAGTTGAGATTTTTAACACATATTTAACGGCTGATTTAGTAGTATCTGTCAAATCGAAATTGTGACAAACAAAAAAGATACCTATGCGGCTTAGCAGTTGTTTTGGACATCAGAGGATAGGTAGATCGGATCCAATGAGCCTGCCTTGATATTACAACCCCGTTTTTATTTACGATACAACAAAGCAAAAGCAATGTCTCAAATATGCCTAACTCCGCCGCTGGAATTTCATCAACCCCTGTTTCAACCAAGAATTTGGACTGCGAGGAGATATGTGCAGGTATACTTTATCACGCACCGGTCACACTTAATGTTTATTCGTTTTGTGGGTCGTACGCAGTGTCGTACATGGATGTAAAGTTGAGACACGAACCTAGCGCAACATTTTAACATTAGATGCATGAATATTACATCTAAGAGATGCGTACCATTACCGTAATCAAGAGCTTCTGTTAATATAGCATTCCTCTGTACACACACCTTGTAAAAAATTGTCTACAGGGCAAGTGATGAGTGATGAATTAGCGAGCAAATTGACAGATAGACAGTCCGATGGAAGTTAGTGACATTTTCTTCAGCGATTCACATGTCATGTATCATGCAAAAAAACATATTATCCCACGTGGAAAGTAAAATGTTTTATGGGATTGGCTTTCAAGGCTATTCCGGAGAATGCCTTCCGTGACGCCTTCAATGCTTGGAAATCGCGCTGGCAGCGCTGCATCGACGCAGAAGGAGCCTATTTTGAAAGTTTTTAAAGAATTGTAACGATTGGCTCAATAAATTTTTTTAAATCGACTCAGTCCTATTACTTTCCGGACAAACCCTGTAGATATGAATTTACTTACTGAAGTTGCAGATTTTTGTCGAACTTCTTAGGCATTGAGATTCTACCAGAATAAAATAAGAAGCCTTCCTTTAAAGCATTTTTGTGAGAATCAGTGGCATTATTTTTTGTGTTCTATTGCCAGTTCCTTCTGAGGTAGCCTGTATATATTCCAAGGTAAACATTGATGGAAAGTACTTTGAAGATTTGTTTTCAACGCTCTTAAGCCATATTCCTATCAAAGGCTACAGGTACGTCACAATTAATTAGATTTGTCTTGTACAGATAATTATTGTACATCCCTCGTCGCTTTAAAGCGTTTTGTATTATTAACTGTGAAGTAAATATGTTTATGAATTATTTATAAGTATAGATAAAGGTGTGTTAGATGATTTACATGTTCACTGAGGTAGATCGGGAATTTAAGAAAAAAAGTTTAAGGACATTTGGTGACAAGGTTCCAATTTGTATCATACTAATTGGATTGGTTTATTCATGGTTACTCCTTTTTAATATTAATGATTATTTCTTTTGTGGTGTTATGGATTTTACTTAGTTTTATCAGAAATCATATTTCTTAGGCAAGGTGAAACCCACCTGAAAATATAGAGGAAGAAAGAGATATTTGTATATACAGGTAATTGGACTTACTGTTAAGTATAGTTTGATTCTGTTATTGTTGTGAGATACTTTTGTTGCTACGTTAAAGCGCCGTATAGTTGTCTTCAATAATATTAATATCAAAAGTTTATTGTTTCAATGAAACCCTCGACTATAAAGATCATTAACGTTATTTTCGGATGTCTTTCCATGATAAATAAACAAGTAGATTTTGATGCATTGAGGAAAATACAGGGACTGAAATGTCGTGCATCTATATTATTTGGTATAAATAGCCGCTGACGTAACAGGTTAAAGCTCTGTCTTGCACCCGTTAAATTTGAAAACTGCTATTTTAGTACATAGTTGCTCTTAGAGTTTGAGAGAAAATACGACAAAATAATCCATAACAGATAATTTTTTTTGATCAGGAGACGGTTGATACCTAGAACGTAATTACGTACAGATAGTCTAAAATTCTATATTCTATGAAACGCTAATAACTAGGACAAAAAATTAAAACTGTTTTCTTTTTAACATGATCAGATACTTGTATCGCAGTTTCCTCAACCAAAGAGAAAATATAGCTACAATGATTTATGTAAAATAATCCATTTAGCTAAGACGGAGTTAGTGAAGTAGGTATATGAGGTCAAGATAGATTTATATTTCAAAGTGACATTTCCTTTGATACCAAACTATATCGTGTAATCTCCCGGGTATCTGCATCAAAACTACTCAGATGTTGTTTGCCTGCGAAGAATGCGATTTATAACTTTAAGAAATTTATTCGTAGAAGCTGTAAGCTATGCCCTAGCTGGTTAGCGTATATGGTTCTACGAAGGAGATTACACGACATAGTTTAGTATAAAAAATGTCGGTTTGAATTTTTCCTGACCTTAAATTCAGTGCAAACTCGACCTTAAGTAAGGAATACTCCAAACATCCCTGCACTTGCAAAAATGACCAGATAGAAAACAGAAGTGAGAAGTTATTGGAAATTATGCACAACTGCGAAAGGTTTGTTGTCTGCACTACTATTGATATCTCCGTTCATTTTGATTCAATAAACTAGCTACGTTTCCGTTTGGAAGGTTTGCCTCCAGCAAGATCATTTTACAAAATTGATGAGGATGTTGAAGGAATGAGATAAATATAATAATTATATTTTTGAGGTTGAAAATGAATACAAGCGACAAAATTCGCCACGTTTAGTTGATATTCTAGGAATATGTAATGTATTTTATTCGGAAAGACAAATAAATGTGTACCTTAAACTTTTTTATAATGTTTTGCACATCAAAAAGCTAAATTATTTATTAATGTTCATCTATACCTTAAAACCATCAACCCATGGAATATAATTATGGTAGCTGCCTACTTTCCTTAAATATCAAATATCGACACTGTTTCATTCATACCGTATCTGCCAATGTTTACACGCCTTGGTGATCAAGAAATTAATTCTTCACAAGCATGTTCATTCGATACAATGATGTAACTTTTAAGACCAAACAGTTTCCTCATTCCTGTTTAGCTTGGATATTAACACGCTTTACAGCACTTTTGCTTTACCTCCATCGACTATGTAAATAACAAGTCGTATCTCTTCTTTCCTGCCAGATGAACTGTAAAATTTACCTTTGCGCAACGGCTTTCAGATAAAAGAAGTCATAATACATTATGAGTTGATGTTCCGTAGTCACCTTTCGGGTGAATCTGCCTACCTTTCACACGATTCATCGTACAGTAATTAATAGAAGGTAAGCGCTGTTGTTTTTTATCAAATTAGATGCTGTTTTATGTTTAACAACGACACGTGACTATGCGGCAGCTCTGTTGATGATGTAACCGTTATAAAAGACTGTTATTTCATCTGCTAGGTCCTTTCTCTCAAGAGGCTATTTTTTGTATTCACACCGGTGCTGTGTAACTTCTGCATGTTGGAAAACTTATTGAATATTATACAACACGTGCAGTGAACTCACCTTCTGAATGAGTTTACTCATTACCCTGGGTGGATATAAAACTGCACAACCATCTGATGTAAGTCATGATGATGAAATGGTGAAGAACTCCCATAAAAATCAGACACTTGTTACGCAATACCTAGACATTCAACCTAGCAGCTTGCAGGTCCGTTTAAACATCAATAATTTGAAAAACAAGATATATAATATGACGATATCAAGACGTCACTGCTAATTAATGCCTGTAAAGCTTATTTTCTTATATG